TATATTTTTAATGACATGAATGTAAAATTTATGGCATGGAATGCCCAGCAGCAGAGGAAGCCTTCAGCACACAAGCTGCCTTCTGCAGGACAGAAGTGAAATCCCTTGAGGTTTGGGAAGTCTGAGTGACGTAGTTCTGGCTGGCACTTTGAATATATGTGTAGATTACTTCAAAACAAATATTTGCAGTTCAACTCTAACATACATATGTTAGGGTGAGAACAGGCATATATTAATGTTTCTTAAAATTAATCATTTTGAATATTTTATACTGAAATAATTTTACCATCGCACATAATAAAAAGAGGTTGGTGTGGGTACATATAGGGAGAAACATAACCTGCCCTGTATGTACACCATTCCCTGCCCACCTGCCCAGGTGAAGTTCCTGAAGAAAGCCATACACGGGACATCTGCGGAGACAGAGACAGATACGAATTTGTCTTTTTGCTTGAGAAGAAAGTTCCCTGGTGTCTTCAACTCCATGGGAAACTCTGTGGCCATCTCTGTGCTCGTGCATGCAGCTGATTTCTGAGCAGCACCATGTTCTGAGTTGTGTTTGGTGCTTGTCTCGGAGGAAACATCACTCTTTTCCTTCACCCTTGAGCAGAAGCAGTGCAGTCCAACGCAGAGCAGCCACTGGCACCTCCGTTAAGGGTTGTGGTTGTTCCTGACGGTCTAAGATGTGGAAGCTGGGGGGCCAGGCTTTCTGTCTGCCATACCAGCCCCTGTGCCTATTGTTCTCTTATCCCTTCCCCAGTGTTTGGCAAGTCACCTGCCAGCTTCTCCCTTTCCCCTTGGCACTCTGTCCCAACTCCCTCATCTGCCTCTCTGTTGGCACATGGAACCCAAAGCTTCTTCCCTGGCTCACGTGAGTCCTGAAAGGGGTTCAGCCAGTTTTCCCAGTGCAGCACAGTCACCAGTGTGCTGATTGCAAACTCCAGAGGCAGGACCTCCATCTGGCACAAACAGCTCCTAGACAGAAGCTAGTTGTCACTGAGGTACATGGTAGAAGACACTAGAAAACGTACCATTTGTTTTCCTAACCAACTCTTCCTATGATTTTAATGCTTTTTAGAAGCACATTTCAGCCTCTTTAAAACAGGAAAAAAAAAGGTAAGGGAGCTCTTGCAAGGCTTGCTATTTTAATCTCCTGGTTTGACATGTGCAGCTTTTGTGTTCCTGAAACTATCATCCAGCTCCTGCTTCTGTGTATGAAGAGAACTAGACAGATAAATTCAGTTCATTCTCCTGGGAGAAGCTGTACAGTATCTGATTCCTGAAAGCAGTGTCATCTGTGCCCCTGCTCTATGCTTGCTGCCACCAGCTCAGGCACAGCACAGAACATGGGAAACAGGGGAAAGGAGGTTGGAGCTGCACCAAGGATAAGTAGGGAGAGCTGCCCTGGGAAAAGTCATGTCCATGAGGTGCTCATGCTTGTGATGGAGCCCATATCCCAGCCCAGGAGATCCTTTCCCTTGGTCAGCACTGGAAATACAGAAGGTGAGCGTGTAGTTACTGTATGAAATGGGCCACATCTCTCAGGAATCTCAAACTGATTCTACCTTTGTATGTTAGAGGATTTCTCCAGCTCTATCTGTAGTCTTTGTGTTGCTACAAATGATGATTAAAAATCCTTCTGGATTTTTTGTAGCTAACCTTTTTAGAAAAGGACTGGTTTGTAGTCTCCAAATTATTTCAGTTATATGCCTGAATATACTAGATCTGACCCTTACTGATTCACTGATGGACAGAATAACTTCTTTTTCTACCTCAAATATTTTGGTCTCATTTTCTTGAGCTCTTCAGTCTTTTCTCTGGAATCTGCTTCTCTAAAGTTTTCTCTTTCTACTGGGGTAAATTATTCCTTTTGGACCTACTGCCTGCTGCTGCTGCTTCTGTTTCTGTTAAATTATACCTCTCTGTCCTTTCTTCTGAGTTTTCTGGGGCATCTCTGCATTTCTTCAGGGTATAGCAACCACTAACAAATCACTTCTTTTTAGGGAAAGATGAGAAATCAAGGAAAAGGAAAAAAAAGGGACCGACCCACTTCCTCTGTTGCCTGCCACTGCTTTCCTCTTCACCGAGAGGAGAGACGAAATGGGAGTGTGAACAAAACTCCACAGCTCTTCTTTCCTTGTGCTGATTAAGCTGCAAGCATGACTGGGTTCTGAGCCAGCATAAACAGGCTGTAAATGGGGGTATAGCATTGCTGGGGTTTAGCTCAACCTCCAACACATGTGAAGCAAGTTGCGTTTGCAGGCAGGACCGGTGTCACTGTGTCTGCCAGATAGGGTGGCCGAAAAGCTCATCAAAGTTGCGCCACCTCTCCACTCCCTCCAAGGGCGCTTGTGCTGCCCTTTGGTGTTGCCTTCCCTGTCCTCAGCTGTGACGGCAAAGGATGTGTCGGAAAGTCTGGGGAAAGCACCATTTCCCCCTGTTTGCTCTTTGCAGTGGGTTTCAAAACTGAGGACAAAAGCACCTCTGTCCTCGGCTTCCCTGGGCCGACAGATGCCCTGGGCACAGGACAGAGTTCACTTCAAACCTGCAGCTCTGCTGGTACCTGCAGGGCCACCTGCCTCCAGTCTCCAGCAACGTGTGCCACCCATCCGTGCTGGCAGCAACCAGCATCTCAGCTTTCCAGCAGAGCCAGCCTGTCCTGGAGGGCAGGGCCAAATCCCAGACTCCATCGCATCCCTGTGAAGCTTCTTTCGGTGCTGACCTTGATTGGAGTTGCAGAGGGATGCTCCATGCTGCTCTGAAGGCAGGAAGGAGCAAGAAAAGTGGTTTTGTTCCTTGAAGCTTTTCTTCAGTGAGGGACAGTCATCATGCACAGGTCTGTTTCCAGTGAGTGGATGGGAATTTTTCTGAAATGTGGTCCTATTTAGACACATCATATGGGGAGGAAGAGATATGGTACTGGCTAATCTGTTGCAAACAAATGACCAATTTGGAAGTAAACCACTGGGTTTGAGCTCTCTAAACTGAACCCCTATTTCAGTGTGGATACTACATAATTTGGGCAGACAACTTACTGCTTCTTCTACTTTCCTCTTGCACAGGATTAAAAATCAAGAAGGGAATTAGGCCTTTATCTCATTTGTCACTCTTGAGCACTGAGCAGATTGTCTTCTGATCTGTTGTTACAGGGTGCATTTATCCCATAGAGCAGAAGTGAAATTGCAGAGCTCAGACAAAATGCTTGTGTGCTGAATGGAAATGCAGGCTGCAGCCTTGGAGCTGCTGTGTGAGGGGGCTTTTCATGCTCTACTTGTGCTTGAAGCTTTACTCTTTTTGCCATAAACCAGAGCTGACTGGGCATTTGCTAGTACCTCAGGTAGAATGCTGCTATTCCATGGAGCTTTTATATTAAAAATTACCTCCTGGTTTCAGTAGCAGCCCTTCTGCTTCCTTCTGTGCCTCCTTGCCTTCAGAAGAATGTGGATGTAGTCATATATCTTTATTTAATCAGCTGGAAGAGTGCCAGATAGCTCCCAAGGTGAAAAATAAGGTGCTTTTATCCTCCTGGCTATGTGTGCCCATAGCGGAACAATGGTCCTGTCAGGTAATGAGGCTGAGTCAGCATGGGGAATAAAAAATTATCTCTCCAGATGTCAGCCCTGTTATCCTCCTGCATGCTGACATCTTCACTGAGCTTGGCCTGGCTCATTTGTCATGGTCTTTATGTGAGGCTGTGAACTAAAAGGCTCAGGTTTTATGGCATTCTGCATCCTCATCTGATTTTTTCCCCCTCTCTTCCAGGTCACGTGAGGAAGGGCTAAACATACACAGCCTGTCCATGGCTGCAGAGCTCAGATGTATAAGTTTACCCACAGAGTGTTGCTGTTTTGGCATCGCTGCAGCAGCTGGCATCAGCCCTGTTTGGTGACAGCCCCGCTCCCCAGGCCAGGAGTGGGAACTTTGGGGTGCCAGTGGTGTGGGCACTGCTGTCAGAGATCCCCCTGCAAAGGGACCACTGTGTTCATGTGTGTTCATGTCTCATAAGATTTACACTTGAAATGTGCCAAGCTAAAGCAATAGGTGGTTGGTCTGTGCTGTTGGGGCTGGGTGAAGGTGAGCAGGGCTGGCTGCAGGTCCTGGCTGCTGGGGCTGAATCCTGTCTGGCCCCCTCCCTGCTCAAGGCTTGGCAGCAGCTCACAGGGGAGGGAGGACGGAGAAACTGGTGCTGCGGTTTAAAGCAACTCTGCCTTCTTGCTGGTCTCATTGCTTTCATTCATTTAGTTTTCCACATATCTCAGTTGCTGCAAAGGGAATGTCTTTCCCTGGCTGCTTTCAAGGGAACCTCTGGTCCTAGAAATGAGGACTTTGCTTCTTGGAGGCCTAGAGTTGCCCATGAAGGATAATGATATCCCTGGACAGCTGTGGCTTTGATCCAAGAAAGTGTTGGGAGTGTTTCAGAGATAAGTAACTAGAGCAAGACTGACTCCAGCAACATCTGGATCATTAGATAAGCAGTAAGCTGCTTTGCAAAGCTGATTCATGATCAGTAGTGTGAATGCTAATGATTAGTCAAATTATGCTGTACCTGAACATTTGACGGGTGTAGAAATCCTGTGAAAAAACACATTTAAGGCTCTCCAATTTGGTTGGGACAATTTTTGTGACAGTCTGCCTGGGGACTTGAGTAGACAGTGATGATGCAGATCAGTGCCAGCAACGCTTTGGTGGGGCCAGGGGCATCCAGAGCCTGCCCTGACCCTTCCAGCCCCAGGGGTAAGGTAGCAAAGCTCAGCCTGGCCAGTTGCACAGTCTCTGTGGGGCTGCATCACCCCAAGCCCTGGGGGGCAGCGGCACCCAGGACCACATGGGTGCTGGGCAGCCGTCACCTGTCTGACACTGCAGACTCCCTAACGCGGCCACAGCAGCCGCGCCTGCAGGGGCTGTCTGGGAGGTGTGCTGGCTCCTGGCGCTGTTTGCAGCTCTCAAAGCCCTATGCCGGTGCTCCGGTGCTCCTTTCTGTCCGGGAGGCTGCTGGAGGACTTTGAGAGCCGTCGAATGCCTGTGGCTCATCTTGCTTTCCGGAGAGGCAGCGGGGAGGAACGGCGCCGATTTATTCCCTTAGACCGAGCCTGATCTCACCCGGCGTTGTTTGTGCAGCGTATTGCGATGTGCCCAACCCCTCCTTCCCTCGGCGCCGGCCCGAGCACCTGCCGGTCTCCAAACGTCACCAGGCTCCGGATATAAAGAGCGGCCGATAAAGCATCTCCCCGGCTCCATCTCTGCGAGCGGCGCATCTTCAGGGAGCGAGCCATACGCGGGCTCAAAGATGTTTTATTCGGGTATCCTGACAGAGCCGAGTAGAAAAGAAGTGGAGATAAGGGAAGCGGCGTCTCTCCGGCAGCAGAGGAGGATGAAGCAGGCGGTTCAGTTTATTCACAAGGATTCTGCAGATCTCCTCCCTCTGGATGGGCTGAAGAAGCTGGGGACTTCGAAAGATACTGTAAGGCTTTGTTGTGTTTACTGGAAGGAGACTTAAGAAGCTGGTAGGGCAGTGTCTATACTTTGTCTTCGTGCCATTTTTCTGTTGAGAGGAGAAGTTGGTTGCTTGTGGAAGCTCATTTTAAAAAATATGTGAAAGGAAGGGAGTACAAATATGATGCTAGCTATAACCAGAGTTGCCTTCTTCTAGTAGGTGCTTCCAGACACCTGGCACTCAGATCTAAAAGCTTTTAAATTGTTTTTCACTTTGGCAGGAAAATGTGATACCATTTGCAGTACAAAAATCTTCTCTGAATCAGAGTAAGCCAAAATGGCTTCATATAATTACATACATGCAAACACATGTGTTTGCCTGTGATGTGTATGTAGGCACAACACGTAATCATAAACATTCAGTGAAGTGCAGTCACTATTATTTCAAAATATAAAACCGTCATGATCATGCTTTGATAAAGATACGCATATATGGGTTTTTTAATAAAATAAAGATACATAATTTTAGGTTTAAAATATTTACATCTACAATGATCCATGTGATCGTGTACTTGACATATGATATTATTCATCATGTACAGGGGCTGGAGAGTGTTTCTAAATACTTACGTATGCAAATGTTTGAGCTTTCTCTAATGGGAAGGATACTTAAATGTAACATCAAAAGTTCTAACATAAGGAACAAAATCTAGAAAATATATCCTAAAGCTCCTTTACTTTTTTTTTGGTCAGTGGTTGCAAAATTCTTGCACCCTGTAAAACAATATTTTTTCCTTTTTTTCAGTGCTTGATATGGGTTTTATGGGGGAAAAAAGTAAATATTTTTATTTTTAGTGGCATAATTTTGTTCTGTCACAGCCTTCCTGCTCAGCTGGGTTACTCTTGGCTCTACCTACCTGAGACAAGTGGAATGAGTTGGCTGTTCTCTGCAGTGCGCATGGAGGTGATTTTTTTGACAACCCCAGTGTTTTACAGTTGCAGGAAGTGAAGCTCCTGCCCAGAGAAAGGTTCAGAAGGAGCTTTCCTGGTCACCACTGAATTGCAGCTCTCCCACGGGGAGCTACAAAGCGCCTTTCAGAGCTTGATGGTGTTGTTATTATGATTACCTTCAAAGTCTAAATAACATGTGGTGGCTCAGTGACCCCCAGTGTGCCAAGCTGAGTGCCTGGTGACAGGTTTTCTACTCTACCCAGAAAAGAAGCAACAGGTAACAGGAGCCAGGGGCACTGAGCACTGAAGTCCTTGGCCCCAGAGCAGCCAGGACCAGGTTTTGTCCCAGCACCAGGGGCAGAGCATGGGGCTCTTTACCATCACCTTGGTTACAGAAATGTCACCCGAGGTTTGCTCCCTGCTCCTGTGCCCACACTGGCTGAGCCATGGCTGCAGCATCACCCCTGCTGCACCCACAGCTCCTGCAAGAAGGGTCCATGTGGGGGGCTCTCTCCAGGGATATTGCAAAGCCTTGGGGAGGTCCACAGCTCCTGATCCCCTCCAAGGAAAAAAGAAGGTGCGGCATGGCACTGCCCATCCTGGCTACCTTGGCTGTGGTGGGTCTCTGGCTCGGGATGGGGTGGGAACTGAGCTGGTATGGGCCACCCCACCGCAAAAACCCCCTTGTCCCCAGGCCACAGCAGGGGCTAATGGGACAGTGTGCACATGTGGCCAGGGCTCCCTTGGCCACAGGGACCCCCATGGGCCATGTGGGGAGTCCCCAGTGTCACAGCACTGGCACATGCTCAAGCGCCTTCCCACAGCACCGGAGAAGACACCATGAATTTCAGGGATGTTGCAGCAGGTTGTCTCACGGTGGTGACGCTGTGGGCACTGCCACGCTCACACCACACACATCTGGGGTGGACCCACCGTGTGTCTCTGGCTGCCACGGCTGTCTGGATGTCACAAGAGTTGTCCCTGGGAGGAACAGGAAATTGTTCATCTCTGAGACTGGAGAAGCACCTCTAAAATTGGGACCCCACCTTGACATGGCCCCAAATTGAGAGGTCCATGTCCAGAGGGGCTCAGGATGCTCAGGGCATCAGAGGTCTTTGCCCAAGGCACTTGCACGCCTTTCTTGTGAATAACTGCACACCTCCTCACAAAGCAGCATGTTCTCATGCCTAAGGCTGTGTGACAACTGTGGTGACGTGGGCAGAGTGGCTTCTGACGTGACTGGTGTTATTAATGCAGGGTTTCCCATGGGATTTTCCAGCAACCCTGGCAGGAGAAGAGAGGAGGTAACAGCTCCCCAGAGACGGGGACAGGTGGTGAGAACAGATCCTGTCTGTCAGGGTGGGAGCTGGCAGCAAACACTCTGATTTTGGGGAGAAATCCCCTTCCTTTTGGCCACAGAGCAGGGGGTGCTGTGCACAGTGAAGGAGCAGCAGGTCACCAGGGTGGGTGCACTGGCATCTCTCAGTTTTACTCAGCTCCTGAAGCATCTCTCCTGGTGATACCATGTACAGGCAGGTTTGATAAATACTTGTAATGATCTGTGTTAAGCTTATAATAATTGCCAGTGTATTACTCTGGCTCAGATTGAATTCTAGCTCCTTCCTCCCTTTACATACTCCACTCTGCCTAGTGTAAGACCGAACTACAGCATAGCATAGCCTACATTGAATTTGGCAAATGTAGGGCTGGATATACAGAGTAGAAATGGCTTTGTTTTGGTGCCTATTAGCCTCTTCCCTGAAGCCCAGAAAACTGGCACGATATGGTCCTTAGCTGGGATGTGGGCTTCCTGACATGGTAACTGTGACCCCCTTCCCAACTTGGACAGGGTGTGCTGGCTGTTGGCAGCTCCTCCTGGTGCTCTGACACTTCTCCCTCACCCCGAGAGCTGCCGAACCAGTTTGAAGGGGCATTAGTTGAAATAGTCCCGTATCTCATCACAAGCTGGGAAACAAAGTTATAAATAGCAATGACAACAACAAAAAGCATTTCCCCCTTCTAGCATGCCCTCAGAGCCTCCCCTGGGCACCATCAGGACAACTCTAGGTGTCCCCATGGCGCTGGCCCCTGTAGCTGGTTGCAACACTGCTGTTAATTGCTGTGCATTCAGTTTGTCCCCACTTTCCCCACACCCCTGGATTTGCTGTGTCTTGGCTGAAATGCAAAAATCTTTGATGACACATACACTGTCTTGCTCAGAGACCTGACTGCTGCCTGGGCACCCAGGGGTGCAGGGGGCAGCTCTTATCCCATCTCATCCCCCTGTGAGTGGGACTGACAGCACACGAGCACAGGATGCTGGTAGAAGATGTGTTCAGATGAAGGATGGGAAGAAGAGAGAGAAATTGGTTATTTCTTGGGTTTAGCTCCATTGGTGCATTAACCCCCCTTTTTTTTTCCCTTACTGTTTAGGTACAGAAGAGAAGACAAACCCCTTGAAATGGGTTTGGGGAGGGGAAGAGCCAGTATCTTTCCTGACTTTCATCTTCACCTAGTGAAACTGTTGTTGATGGGTCTTGTTATCCCCAGATCTAGAAGCCAAAATAGTGGGAAAACTGCCAGAGAGAGAGAGAGAGACTGCAAGCTGCAGCAATACACTTGCTTATACATCAGAGAGGAACAAAACTGGGCAGAATTATTTGTATTTTTGACAGACAGCAGTAAATAGGTTAAGTAAAAGCTGTGTCTCCACTTGCTTCTTTGGGTTTCTACTTTGACATTTTTAGGGGATTACAGGTTTTTGCAAAGTCTGAGTTGGAAAGGGAGATATGAAAAAAAATCCTGGTTTGTACTTATGTAGTGCTGAATGATACTAGGAAATATTTTTGCACTGATACAATGAAATGTAACATTTTATATTTTATAAAACATTCACCAGGTTTGTGCAAAGCAAACGAATACAGCACCAGATAGTCTGAGTTATTTTAAATACCATTCCTGGCTCTGTGGCCGGCCCTCACTGGAGGGAGAACACAGGTGCCTTCTCTGCTGCTGTCACAGGGAGGTTTTTCTCCTCTTCCTCCCTCCCAGACATGGTCCACTTGCAGTTTGCCAGCAAAATGTGCATTTGCAAATGTTCCCTGATACATTATCTGTTTACCAAGTACGTGTCCATCACTTGAGTCATTTCTATGACTAACATCCCTCACTCTGTTGCACAAGAGTCAAGGGAAACACAAGTTAAAGCAAACTAATTAATAGCCTGAGACAGGATGGTGCTGTAGGGAACGTTTTCAGCCCCCTCTTGCTAGATTATTTCTGTATTAGAGCACAATGTAAGGAGCACTTGTCCCCCCACAGGCAGAATTTGCTGTGATTTTCAGAAGAGCAAGTGTCAGCAAAAGACAATCCTGTTTGTGATGGTAACTCATCTTCACCGAGTAATGAACTGTTTCCCTTTAGTGATGGATCCCACATAGGATTCATAAAACCAGGGTCTCAGAAAACCCATGTTTGTTACTAGTTAACAATCCATAGGAGAACTTGTAGTTAAAAAAATTTAGGTTTAGTTCAAGGGTAGATGACAGTTAAGGGAGCAATGAGGAGTGTGCTGGTGATTGAGGTCAGACAGATCAGAAGAGTACCCTGACTGTCCTGGATGATGCCATTCAGAAATTTCTCTTGGTCCTGGATGAATGGGGCTTAGCATGAGGAATTGGCCACTGTATGACAAGCTGTCTTTTGGCCAGCTGGGTCAAAGCTGGGTGAACTTTACTCATCTACTTTTACAGTCCAATATCCCCTCTATTTTCACTTTCTTTTTTTTTTTAATGATGTGAAGAATTAATCCTCCAGATGTGTTCCTGAGCTGCAGGCATACACAAAGGGTAAGAAGGACATTCCATCCACTGTCAGCAAACCCTGGCTTGCATTTTCGCTCGGATGCGGAGCATTGGAGGTGATCACAGTGCTGACTGTGCATCTCAACTTCTGCCTCATGTAAGGGAGTCCTCACTTCCAAACTGATTTGCTTGACCCTGCACACAGGGATAGTCCAGCCTGTCTGCCTGCCTTTAATCTAGTAAAGCATCACTGGTTCCTGGTGTTCGGTCTCACTGGGAAGGCTGGTGGTCACCGGAGCAGAGCATGAAGGAGGCAGCACAGTGTCAGGTCTGATTCCTCCCCACCATGACAGCGGCTGTGGTATTGCCTGCACACAGGACACACTCTCTGTTGTGGTGGTCAGACACAGCACCTGCAGCCCAAAATGGTCATGGAATTTAACTTCAAGTCACAGGTTGCACGCAGAAATAAGGACAGCAAAAAGTGGGGACAAAAGGAGATGACACGTCCCGGTGACCACTGGTGCTGGATGTATCTGCCCAACCTCATCAGTCAGGTCCAGTGTAACCGCCCATGTTGTGCCTAGAGCAGGATCTGAAGCGCTAACATGGCTGCAGTTATTTTAGGATGATGCCAGGTTGCATTAGACTTCTGTAAGTGCTGTTATTTAACATGCTGCACAGACAAGATGCTGCGCACAAGGGTGTGCGCTGGCCAGCTAAGGGAGCCATGGCCCCAGGTTTTCAAAGTTATCCTGAATCTGAAATTCTCCTGGGATGAGGAGGTTTGCTTGTTCAGATGTCTCTGCAGACACACAGGCATATTTAATTTGAATGCAAAAATTCAGGAATAAGCCATTAAGAATGTCTCACTGTGGACAAATTAAAATCCAAAGGAAAGGAGTAATGGGGAGGGCAGATTAGCTAGGCAGAGAAATGAGCAGATAATCAAGCAGAGTAATTTCACCTCCAGCAGAGTATGTGCATCCATCTGTGGCAAACATTAAACATAAAAAGGCTTTTGGGAAAGCGGTTGGAGGAGATTTTGAGAGGCAACATGCTTCTCGCAGAGCAAATGGAAATGACAGAGAAAGCAAGAAGCTGCTGCATGAAGTTGGGGATTCCTGGGAGAATACCTACCTAGCTACCTACCTCAGACTAGCTTACCCCTTCTCTTCCTCTCATTTTTCTCTGGTGGCATGCCCCTCAGGCTTGGTCCCACTTAGCTTTAGCAGCTAAAACGTAGCAAAGAAACACATAGGGCAATTTTAGACCAGGTCATAGACCTTCTTCATAATTAGCTGATGAATTTAATTGGAAAGGTAATTTGTTACATCTTAATTTTTCACATCACTACAGAACTCTCAACATCCTTATCAACAGATGGAGGCAATTATGGCTGAAACACTAACTTGAAAAAGCTGGACTTGTTTTGATTCCTATATACAATCAAATCTTGAACTTGAGTTTGGAAAAAAAAGGCATGCCTCCAAATTCTGGTTAATATTTTGAAAGTATTATTCCCTGTACTATACAAAGCAGTTCTCTTTAGTCCAAGCGAGGTAAGCTAGAGCTGTCTAGGAAGAGTACTTGTAGTCTAGGGATCAGGGAGAGTGACACTTCAGGGCATCCCTCCTGCGAGAGCAGTGCTGGCCCGTGGGCACCACAGGCAGGCTGGTGACGCAGGTCACTGTGGCTTTCCTCTGACTTCACCCTGCTCTTCTGTGTGTGTTCTCTCTTAAAGCAACCACATAATATCCTGCAGAAACGCCTGATGGAGACAAATTTATCAAAGTTACGAAGCAGCCGAGGCTGCTGGTCTCCGAAGGGTGATATCCCACCGCAGACCAACAAGCTGAATCAAACCAACCTGGGAAACTCAGAAAAAATGGAGGATGAAGAGCTCATAGTAGTGAGCTGCCAGGTAATAGTCCCTCCCCAGTCTTTTGGGGGTTTTTCCCACAACTTTTATTTCTGACACCCTCAAGCTGTGCTCTTGTTCTCCATGTTTCCTGGTTAAGGTTGTGCTCCCTTGGGACTGTCACAGCTGTGGGGATGCATTATCTCTGCAGCTCTGGGCTGCTGTGGCAGAGACAGCCACCTGATATCACAGAGCAAACTGGTCTGATGGATGTCTTCCCTCACACATCAGGGTGGAGAGGGTAGCTAGAATGAGGCAGCATGCTGAAATACTGAGGTGTAATTATCCATGGCAAATCCCTGTGTTCTTAGCCTATTTGTTTTCCTCAAGTGCCATCCCTTTTTTCTTTCCCAAGGGTAATTTCACATTTCTCCTTCTTATCCCCATGCTTTTTTGTATTTCCCACTCTCTGCAATATCTCCCCCTACCTAGGGCTGCTCTTTCTGCTCTCTGCAGGCGTAAAAGGGCCAGAGAGAGCTCAGGACCCAGCACACATCTAAGTGTGCGGTGCAGCAGGGATGGGCTGGCATGAGGAGATTTGATGGGGACTGGTGTGTGCAGAGACCCTGGACACCCTGTACTCATCCTGCACTCCACACATCATCTCCCATCTCTTCTTGCTATTGCAGTGTGCAGGGCAGGAGCTGAAGGCTGTGGTGGACACTGGCTCACAACACAACCTCATGTCGTCTGCCTGCCTGGACAGGCTAGGGTAAGTATCCAGCTGGATTTCTGTGTTGCAGGAACATGGCACCTGGCAGCACAGGGAATGCTCCTGGGGCTGAGGCTTTGCTCACCCCAGTGATGACTGTTCTGGAAGAGAGTGCTTTGGGCTATGCCTGGGCAAGCCCCTGAGCCTCCTTTTACAACCAAATTATAGCCCAGTCTTAAATGGCAGGGAGGGAATCCCTTCAGAGGGTTGGATGCATTTGTGTTTTTTCAGTTTGTTTCTTTCAGCCTGTTTGTCATTCAGTGCCTCACGAAATAGCTGAACCTCCCTCAGCATTCTGAGTCCCTGGGGCAGGTGTGGGGCTGCAGCTTCGCAGGTCCCTGTGCCAAGGCAGGGACCTGGCTGCTGCCCATGCTCCCACTGGTGGCTGCAGCACTGCTGGCCCCAGCACCCGGTGTAAAGGAGCTGTGTGGATGCACGTGTTCGGAATTTGGTGTCTGATGCTGATCCCAACAAGAAATTTCTCGCGGTTAAAAGCAAAAGAAATATATTTATGGAGTGTTAGGGAGGTGACTGCCAACCATTTGCAGCAAAACTCTCTTTGATCTCTGAGGAGCAGGATCAGGCATCAGCTCACAGGGTATCGAGCTGATTTTGGCACTTTATTGCCATGGAGTCATTGCTTTTTGTAGCTAACTTGCAGTGATTATGCAAAAAACAATTGTACCTGCTCCCTGAGCACTACTGTGTGGCCCTGAATGAGTGGTGCCAACATTAATTATTTATTTGCACAGCAGTGTTTAGTGGCTAGAAAGTGGCTGTACTTCCTACAACCTTGTCACAATCTGTGGAGCAGCTCAGCCAAGCTTAGGGATGGTCACAGTGCATTTGGAGGGGTTCTCATCTCACAAGATGCTGTACTGGCTGCTCTACTCCTCTAAGTCTCACAGTGATGCTCTGTGACAGTTCATCTGCTCCCTGTTTTTCTTATGTGTGGCCAGTGTAGTTGTTGCAGCACTGGTCTGCTGCAGCAGAGCTGCCCTTCAAAGACTGCTGAAGAAACAGGTTATACCCTGCTTTCTGCTCTCAGGTTTTGGGGATTCCCTCCTGATCTGAGTGAGATCACTCTTGTAGCAATCAGCCAGGCAGCTGCAGTTACAAGGCCCATGTCTCTCCCTGGTGTTACTCCTCAGTGATGAGCAAGCTGTGGTTCCTGCAGGCTGGGACCCCAGGGACACCGGCGTGTGCCGGAGACCCACTGCGTGTGCAGGCAGAGGGACACCCATCCCAAATGGGCTGCCAGCCAGGGCACACAGCAGACAGGGCTACCTCACAGGCAGCTGCCTTCAGATCTTTTGCTGTCTGTGGTTTTGGGGACAGAAGCTAAAGCCAGATTAGCAAAGTGGGTTAAAACCAGGGCTTTGATGCCTGACTTGCTCTGCCGTCACTGTGGTAGGTTCTGTGCGACAACAGGCACTGCTCCAGCACATTCTACTTCAAAGCAGTCCAGTGGCAAGGATAAAACATGAGTTTTGTTTAAATCCAGCCCTGGAAAGCAGCAGGAAAGAGGCATGCTGGGTGATTTTGCATTTAGGGGAAGGAAGAGGCCCCGCTGTGTGCTTTGCTGTGTGCTGCTGCCTGCAGCTGGGGCTCTGCAGCTCTGGGGATGGGCTCAGCTGCCCAGGTCTCTGGGGACTCAGCACCTCAATGCAGTGTGTAGGTGTCTGAGGATCAGGCTCAATTCCTCCTTTCTCTTTCAAAAAAACCTTTTCGCATCTTGTCATGGTGCCACTCAAGCTCTCTCCCTTGGGAGAGAGTGGAATAAGCGCACGGGTTGCCACAGTGTGAGAAATCCCCTGTAGGTACAGGAGGAGGCCAAGGAACTCATAAACTTCTCATTGATATTTTCCCACTGATTTTAAAAGCCAGAGAGGATTCAGCTCCTTCTCCCTGCTACCTCTCCCAGTCCCTGTACCCTGTGCCAAATGGTGTGGGCAATGCCCACCTCTGTCCTGGGGCTTCTGCCTCTGAGGGGGCTGGTTCCCCCGGGACAGACAGACAGACAGACACACACACTCTCACTGCTGCAATGCGGCTCAGCAGAAAGGCACCTCAAATAGCTGAAAAGTGATATGGCTTTTATCTGAGAGAGACATCAGCGCCTCAAACTGCCTTTCCATCAGATTCTTGTTCAGTTTAAAAGAGAAACTGAAGCTAAATAATTAATCAGTATTGTCAGACTGGTTCACAGGGTGTATATAGAAGAGACAACTGTACCTGAGGTATTTCAGACATCCATTTTTCCTTTCCTTGGGCTGAATGTGATTGATCTATCCCCATTTCCTCTGAACAAAGCCAGCAGCAGCACCTAACAAACTAACTAAAGTGTATTGGGTGTTGCCCCAGCTGTAAGCCATGTTGTTTAACCTGGAGCAAAGGAGGCTCAGGGGGCACCTTATCACTCTCTACAACTACCTGAAAGGAGGCTTTAGTGAGGTGGGAGTCGGTTTCTTCTCACTGCTAACAAGTGACAGGACCAGAGGAAATGGCCTCAAGTTGTGCCATGGGAGATTTAGCTTGGATATTAGGAAAAATTTCTTCACTGAAAGGATGGTCAGGCCTTGGAACAAACTGCTCAAGGAAGTGGTGTGATCCCCATCCACAGAAGTGTTCAAAAAGTGTGTGGATGTGGCACTTGGGGACATGGTGTAGTGGTGAGCCTGGCAGTGCTGGGTAGACAGCTGGACTTGATGACCTTAGAGGTCTGTTTCAACGTTAACGTTTCTATGATTCCATGGGGACACAGTGTTGGTGTCGTCAGCTCCACTGGTGGAAACTACAGTGAACTATCCCTTCCTTATATCCACACTGCGTTAGGAGCAATTTTATGTCAACAGCTTCCCAAAGTCTTAAGGAAATGTAGGGAAAAGATTCCTCAGGTAAAACCCAAAATCCAGTACAGAGCCATGCTTGGGGCAGCCCCAGAGCAGTGTTGTGGGTTGTGCTATGGTCTGACACGAGTGTGGGCTGCTGGCTGCCTGCAGGGATCCACAGACGACCTGCCAGGGAAGCAGCTTTCCAATAACAGCTTGGTAACACGAGCGAGCTAAGAGCACTTCACCGTAAGTACCCTCCAAACAATGTTTGCTCCCAGCTGGAGCAACCAAACCATGGCTGTTTGATGTTAGAAGTGTTTTCAATGCACAGGTTAAAGGAGCATCTCAAAGCACTCCCTGTCGAAGACGAGACGGTTTCGTTGCCGAACACAGTGAAAGCCATCGGCCAGGTCGAGTGTCTCACCCTCACGGTGGGAGCGGTTCCCGTGGAGTGCACTGCCCTCGTCGTGGGTGAGTGTGTGTGTGTGTGTGTGTGTGTGTGTGTGTGTGTGTGTGTGTGTG